ATACTTGTTAGTTAGACGTATCGTATCGTATGCATTTTACCTGGACTTGACCATTGAAGTACACTTACTCAAGACCCTTTTTGTGAATAGGTTCCGGTCGTTTGGGTAATAAAATTTTATTATAGGATTGGAAAAATACTCCATAGTTTTTATGACTTTAAATCCTTGCTTCCGTTGATAATGAATTAAAGCTTTTAACCAGATGTTCTTTTTCGGCAAGACCGTTGAAGATTTTCTAGAAAAAATTGGTCTAAAGAGTTTAGACAGTACTTCCCTCGCTGTCGGAAACTTGACGACTGCATGCCTATTGTGTTTTTTTTCTCATTACATTTTTGTAGTGGGAATTTAAAAAAAAATTGCGATGACGTCATCAACATTTTTGCAAGGACACGTATATCAGTTGGGATAGATGTAGTGTAATACTAAGAATAAAATTATTATATTCTCAAATTTTCGGGAAAATGAATTGGGTCGTTTTGAATATTGATTTGTAATAATCAATAAAATAACGAAACAATTTACTCACGTATACGTATCAGAGGCAACTGAAAATCGTGTATGTATAAACATTCTTAATTTAAGATGACAGGCGTAACAGCATACGTGAGAGTCAAACAGAGAAACTGTAAACAAAACGACCATCGGTTTTATTGCTTCGATTTCCGCTTATTATATAAAACATTGGGTTTTATTTTAATTCTTGACGGTGAAATTCACAATTGGTTGATTATAAACATGTCTATTTCACATTCGCGGAACCAAGTGAACGCATAAAACAAATGCAGGTCTGTAATGTTAAAGTCGATGTAAATAAGCGTGCTACCCTTATGTTTCAACCGAGTTTTTCCTTTAACAAATTTTGTGTCTACCAAATTGGGTTGGTTGGGGTGTAATACTAATAATAAGTGTTGCCTTTAATTTAATCAATAAAATAAATTGACTTCATTAATTTTTTTGAACCACCTCTTAAGAAAATCTAAAAAATATGAATGGAATGATAAATCACAAGTACAAACTCATCATATTTTTTGCATTTTAGATAGGATTTATTCAGCAAAATTTAAGGGTGACGTCATCAATTTTTTTAGGAGGGATGAACAAATACATTTTGAACAAAAGTTTACCATGCTTATAATAACTTTAAAATATTCCCAAGATTTCAAAGCATTCGGTTTTCTAATTCCTGATTAAATCGATAAAATAAATTCACGCCTTCATTAATTTTTTTGAGTCACCCTGCATATGCAAATCCAAAAATATGATTGGAATGATAAATTACAAGTACAGACTCATCATATTTTGTACATTTTAGATACGATTTATTCGACAAACTTTTGAGCTGACGTCATCAGTTTTTTGTAGAAGATAACCAAATATATTTTGACTAAAAATTTATTATGCTCTTTATAACCTTAAAACATCTGCAAGATATCAAAGCATTCGGTTTTGTAGTTCCTGATTAAATCAATAAAATAAATACGCATTCATTAATTTTTTTGAGTCACCCTGTATATGCAAATCGAAAAAATTTGAATGGAATGATAAATCACAAGAAGAGACTCACCATATTTTGTACATTTTAGATAGGATTTTTTCAGCAAAATTTTGTGGTGACATCATAAATTTTTTAGGGGGGACGACCAAATACGTTTTGATCAAAAATTTACCATGCTTATGATAATTTTAAAATATCTTCAAGATTTCGAAGCATTCAGTTTTGTAGTTCCTGAGTAAATCAGTAAAATAAATTTACGCTTTCATTTATTTTCTTGAATCACCCTGTATATGCAAATCCAAAAAATATGAATGGAGTGATAGTTCACAAGTACAGACTGATCATATTTTGTACATTTTAGATATGATTTATTCGGCAAATTTTCGAGCTGACGTCATCAAGTTTTTGGAGGGGATAAGCAAATATATTTTGACTAAACATTTATTATGCTCTTTATAACCTTAAAACATCTGCAAGATGTCAGACCATTCCGTTTTGTAGTTCCTGATTAAATCAATAAAATATATTTACGCATTCATTAATTTTTTTGAGTCACTCTGTATATGCAAATCCAAAAAATATGAATGGAGTGATAAATGACAAGTACAGGCTCATCATATTTTGTACATTTTAGATATGATTTATTCGGCAAATTTTCGAGCTGACGTCATCAAGTTTTTGGAGGGGATAAGCAAATATATTTTGACTAAACATTTATTATGCTCTTTATAACCTTAAAACATCTGCAAGATTTCAGAGCATTCGGTTTTGTAGTTCCTGATTAAATCAATAAAATATATTTACGCATTCATTAATTTTTTTGAGTCACTCTGTATATGCAAATCCAAAAAATATGAAAGGAGTGATAAATGACAAGTACAGGCTCATCATATTTTGTACATTTTAGATATGATTTATTCGGCAAACTTTCGAGCTGACGTCATCAAGTTTTTGGAGGGGATAAGCAAATATTTTTTGACTAAAGATTTATGATGCTCTTTATAGCCTTAAAACATCTGCAACATTTCAACGCATTCTGGTTAGCAGATTAAAAATTAAATTTCAAAATCTTGTTTTATAATTTTGATTTTTTTTCCAAAAATCTGGACGTTTCGGGTGAAAAGTCGATTCAGAGTTGTAAACTACATGTGTAGGACTATGTTATTTTATACAATTGAAAACCCATTTACTATGTACAATTTTGAAGTGACGTCATCGCATTAGTGGTGGGGATGATTAGACAAATTTTGGTTAGCGTTTTACCATCTACATGATATTCTTAATATAAGTACAAAATTTCACAACAATCGGTCGAGTACTTTCGGAGATTATCTGTCTAATAAAAATCCGGGACAACAGACGGACAGACGGACGGACGGACAGACGGACAGACAGACGGAAATTGGAGACCTATTTCTTCGTCTTCTAGGGGTCATGAAAGATCGAGAAAACGTAAAAGTAGAGAGTCCGCCCACGGACTCGATTACAATACTTCCTTTGCTTACGTTCGGGAAGTAAAAAGGATTATTGTACCCAACTACCTACCTTAAAATTTTTCTAATGGAAACTTTTAAGTAAATGAACCGTTTATTTCACAACCATCAGTCTATCGCATCTGTCGTAGTACAGTGTTATACGTGGTTCTCCCTTGTTACATGTTGAGTTCTTTTTGGTAATATTACCAATATTTTAAAAGAATGCCGAAAGTAAAATCGACGCCGAATGAGTGGATAACGAATTTTCTAGAATTAAAATTAGAAAACAACAAAATATTCTGCAGAGCTTGTGTGAAAACCGTAAGCCCACTAATTTTTTTTTATCTATTTTCCTTTGTTAATCCTGTTGTACGTTGTTTTGGATTCAAAGTGATAAAAAATATAACGTGACGCAACATGTCAGAACGACTCTTCATGTAGAAAGGAAGAAAATGTTTGAAGTTTCTAAAATTAAACAGCAGACCATACATGAATCTATTGCATCTACTTCCACAAAAGATGAGCAGTTTCAGTTTAATTTCGATTTATGTAAAATGATGATCCAGTCCAATATACCTTTAAAAAAATTGGAGAAAGGCCCTCTTCAAGAATTCCTTGAAAAACACTGCAATCGACATATTCCGGTTGAAAGTACTCTCTGAAAAAATTATGTAGGCCCAGTGTTTCAGCAAGTTTACAACGAAATTAAACATCGCGTTGGAGATAATTGTTTATGGTTCGCTGTTGATGAAACAATCGATGGTTGTGAAAAATACGTGCCAAGTTTAATTGTTGGAATCTTAAATGAAAATTTCCCTAGTCGAGGGTATTAGTAAGTTTGAGAATGTTAGATAAAACAAATGGCAACACGATTACCAGATTTGTAAATGACAGTCTTACGTCACTATTTTTGCCAATAAAATTTTATTGATGATCTCGGATGCAGCTCGTTATATGTTGAAAGCAGGGAATAATCTAAAAATATTGTACCCCAATTTAATTCACTCTACTTGCATTGCCCACGGTTTAAACAGAATGGCTGAAGGAATACGTTTGCAGTTTCCTACTGTTAATAAATTAGTGTCAAATGGTAAAAAGATTTTTGTTAAAGCCCCACTAAGAGTGCAACATTTTAACGAAAAATTTCCAAACATACCATTGCCCCCAGAGCCGATTATAACGAGGTGGGGAACATGGTTACAGGCCACATTTTATTACGACAAATATATCAAAGAATTTGAGGAAGTAGTTACGAAGTTTAGCGAAGATTCTTCTCAATCGATTAAAGATTGCATAAATATTTTGAAAAACAAAGATTTGCGACAAGATCTAGCTTTTCTAAGAAGCAATTATCAATTCGTATGTGAGGTAATAGAAAAGTTAGAAAAACCCAACATGTTGTTGGTAGATGCCATAAACTTAGTGAAAGAATTTAAACAACAAGCAAACGCAGTAAGGGGTGATATTGGTACTCAAAAGTATCTCAAAAACTTGACGAAGTGTTAAATAAAAATGCAGGTTTCGGTGTTCTTTCCGACGTTGCTCGTGTTTTACAAGGCCAGAAGGTGGAAAATTTGGAGTTAGATTCAACATTAGTTGCAAAATTCAAATTTGCGCCAACAACGAGTGTGGATGTTGAACGCACATTCTCCAATTTTAAACACATTTTAAATGATCGGCGAAAAAATTTTACAGTGGACAACTTGGAACACATTACAATCATAAATTGTTTTAAAGAAAACTGAAATACGTGTGTAAAATACAAAGTCTAGGATTATTGTAATAATATTTTATCCAAAGTTCTAAGAAGTGTTCTTTGATTTGTAATATGATTATGTTTTTAATGCTTTTTTGCTTATAAATCCGCTCTCCAATTATCACAAATAATAATAATAATAATTTAATAATACAGTACACAACGTATCGCTTGTCCACGACCCCCTTTTGATTTAATTGCCACTATTCAATTAAGCAAACTCTCTCCTCTTGTGAGTTTTCTATAAACTAATTAAGCCTTTGTTCGTGCTTAGGTGAAGAACCAGAGGATGAGGACGATAACAAACTTGTTCCTGTTGAATTTGGCCGTCTCCGATCTCCTGCTGGGCGTCCTTTGCATACCTTTCACGTTAATAGGGACGCTGTTGAGGCACTTCGTTTTCGGGGAAGTCATGTGCAAACTCCTACCCTTTCTGCAAGGTAAGCCACCCCATATTTTCGCCCCAGACGAGAAAGAACCCGCGACGCCCGCCATGAATGCAGATATGTGTGATTTACAAGCTGCGTGTTATTGCTCTTATGCTAAGTTGGTAGATACGGCTGATTTATGGTGAAAGTGGATGTCTTAATTCGTGACGGGTGGAATTAGAGGGGATGATTGATTTAGTGGAGGTTAGACACCCGGCTAACGCACAATTAATAAACACGACTTTGGTGTTTATTCGTATGGCGCAGTCAGTGGGATGTTGGTTTAGGATATGGGTTTGTTAGCTCGGGCGGCACGTGAAAATTGTAAACAAACACGGCTTGATCGATGCGACTTTTTACACTAGAGATATGGTAATAAATATTATTAATACGAGACCAAGGTTATCAATAAAGGTTACGAGTGCAAAACATTTATTTACAGCACATTATGAACGGGAATACATTACATCGGAAGAATGTCACGTAGACATTTGTTTGATTTGAATGAGTTTATCGCCCCAAAACAGATGACTAAAATTATTCATAAGCCTCCATTGAACAAAATATTCTGAAGGTTATTATTATAATTCTTACCTTATCATTATTTTATTGTTATAAAGACGAGCGTATTCTCACATTTTCCAGTTTTACTATGTCATTACATTTTAAAATTTTTCATTTTCTTGTTGCTTGAATTTTTATTTTGCAATTTTTCGATTCTTTAATTTTCTATTTATTCAAATTTTTGATTTGTAATTTTTCGTTTCGGTTTTTTATTTTTTAATTTTTTTACAATTTTTCGATGTAATAATTTTATAATTCTTGTTTTTCTAAATTTAAATTTTTTCGATTTTTCGGTTTTTCATGTCTTCAATATTTCGATTTGCAGGTTTTAGTTTGGGTTTTTATTTTCTTAATTTTTTCAATTTTCAGTTTTTATAAGTTTTAGATTTTTCAGTCTCTCGATTTTCCGATTTTTAAAATTTTCAATTTTGCTATTTTTGGGTTTCCAGTTAATCCGATTATTCGTTTTCTTTGATTTTTCAATTTTCTCATTTTTTAATGTTTTGGTTTCGTTATTTTTCGTTTTTTCAATTTTAATTTTTTCAATTTCTCAAGTTTTCGAGTTCCAATTTTATCAATTTTTCGTTTCGTTTTTTTATTTTTACAATTTCATCGAAGTTTCAGTGTTGTAATTTTATGATTTTTGTTTTTCCAGGTTTAATTTTTCCAATTTTTCATTTCTTCATTGTTTCGTTTTGCAGTTTTTTAATTTTTCATTTTTTTTGTTTCTCCAATTTTACGATGTTTTTAGATTTGGCAATTTTTCGATTTGCAGTTTTCGTTTGGGTTTTTTATTTTCTTAATTATTTAAATTTTTCGGTTTTTGAACTTTCAGATTTTTGATTTTTCGTTTTTTCAGTTTTGGATTTTTCAGTCTGTCGGTTTTTCAATTTTTTGTTTCTCCAGTTTTTCGATTTATGATTTTTGAATTTTTCATTTTCTTGTTTCTTGAATTTTTGATTCCGCAATTTTTCGATTCTTTAATTTTCTATTTATTCAAATTTTTATTATTATTTCTTAAATTTTTTACAACTTTTCAGTGTAATAATTTTATAATTTTTGTTTTTCTAAATTTAAAATTTTTAATTTTTCGTTTCTTCATTTCTTCGATTAAATTTTTCGATTTTTCATTTTTTCATGTTTTCAATTTTTCGATTTGCAGGTTTTCGTTTGGGTTTTTATTTCTTAATTTTTTCGATTTTCAGTTTTTTTAAGTTTTAGATTTTTCAGTTTCTCGATTTTCCGATTTTTAAAATGTTCAATTTTGCTGTTATTGGGTTTCCAGTTAATCCGATTTTTCGTTTTTTTTAATTTTTCAATTTTTTCATTTTTTAATGTTTTGGTTTCGTAATTTTTCGTTTTTTCAATTTCAATTTTTTCAATTTCTCAATTTTTCGGGTTCCAATTTTATCAATTTTTGGTTTCGTTTTTTTATTTTTACAATTTCATCGAATTTTCAGTGTTGTAATTTTATAATTTTTGTTTTTCCAGTTTTAATTTTTCCAATTTTTCATTTCTTCATTTGTTCGTTTTGCAGTTTTTTAATTTTTCATTTGTTTTGTTTCTCCAATTTTACGATGTTTTTAGATTTTGCAATTTTTCAGTTTACAATTTCACAGTTTTCATTCAATTTTTAATTTTTCAATTTTTAAATTTTTTCTTTCTTCAATTTTTGTATTTATTTTGTGGTTTAATGTTTCGGTTTTTTATTTTATTTTTCAATTTTTCGGTTCTTGAGTGTTTTGATTTTTGAATTTTTTAAAAATTTTCGATGTTTACAATTTTTCGATTTTCCAGTGTTCCGATTTTGTGATTTTGTTTTATTCAATTTCAATTTTGTTCAACTTTTTGTTTCTTTAATTTTACAAAATGAATCTCTTAGAGTTTTCAGTTTTATATTTTTTAGTTTTCGTATTTTCCAAGTTTTGGATGTTTCAGTTTTTATATTTTTTAATTTTTAAATTTTTCATTTCTTCAATTTTTGTATTTAATTTGTAGTTTTACGTTTCGGTTTTTTATTTTATTTGTTTTTTCAATTTTTTGGTTCTTGAGTGTTTTGATTTTTGAATTTTTTAAAAATTTTCGATTTTTCAACTTTCAGATTTTTCAATTCCACGATTATTTAATTTTTTCAATTTTTCGATTTGTCAGTATTCTGATTTTCAATTTTTTCTCTTTTCGGTGTGAAACTTTTTGATTTTTCGATTTTTTTAATTTTTTCCATTTGTGATTTTCTGGTTTTCAATTTTTCATCTTTTATATGTTTTTTTCGTTTCTTGAGTCTTTTATTTGAAATTTTTCTAATTTTCATTTTAAAACAATTATCCAATAATAATAATAATAATTTAAAATAATTTTCAATTTTACTACTTCAGAATTTTTTTATTTATTTATTCGATTTTTGGTTGCTCAGTTTTTTAGTTTTTCAATATTTCGATTTTTAGTTTCTTCAGTTCTTCGATTTGCAATTTTTCCCCGTCTTCATTTTTTCAATATTCCAATTTTTCAATTCAAAAAATGGGAAAATTGCTAACCTGTAAAATTGAAAAGTCAAAAGTGAAAAAAGTGAAAAATTTGAAAATGGAAAAATTGGAAATCAAGAAGTTGAAAAATTGAAAAATCGAAAAATTAAAAATTTCGAAACTTAAAAATTGAAAAGTTACTAAAATGGAAAAAACGAAATATTGTAAAATCCAAATAATGACAAAATAATGGCAATTAAAGAAATCGGAAAATTGCTAAATTGGAAAATTTAGGAATAAAAAAGTTGTGAAACTTAAAAATCGAAATATTGAAAATTAAAGAATTCGGAAAATCGTATAATTGAGAAATTCAAAAATTGCAACATTGAGAAGAAATTTGAAAAAATCAAAGAATGAAAATTTCAAAAATTAAATAAACGAGAATTGTGACATAAATTTAAGAAAATGACGTTTAAAAAATCGGGTAAATGAAAAATAAAAATCAAGAACTTGAAAAATTACCGAAAAGAAAAACAGAAAAATAAAAAACCGAAAAGTATGAAATGAAAATTTGGAAAATCTAAAAATTGGAAATTAAAAACTTGAAAAATTCAAAAATCGAAAAATTAAAAATTTCGAAACTTAAAAATTGAAAAATTACTAAAATGGAAAAAACGAAACATTGTAAAATCCAAATAATGACAAAATAATGGCAATTAAAGAAATCGGAAAATTGCTAAATTGGAAAATTTAGAAATTGAAGAAAGGAAAAATTCAAAAATCGAAGGAATAAAAAAGTTGTGAAACTTAAAAATCGAAATATTGAAAATTAAAGAATTCGGAAAATCGTATAATTGAGAAATTCAAAAATTGCAACATTGAGAAGAAATTTGAAAAAATCAAAGAATGAAAATTTCAAAAATTAAATAAACGAGAATTGTGACATAAATTTAAGAAAATGACGTTTAAAAAATCGGGTAAATGAAAAATAAAAATCAAGAACATGAAAAATTAACGAAACGAAAAACAGAAAAATAAAAAACCGAAAAAGTATAAAATGAAAATTTGGAAAATCTAAAAATTGGAAATTAAAAACTTGAAAAATTCAAAAATCGAAAAATTAAAAATTTCGAAACTTAAAAATTGAAAAATTACTAAAATGGAAAAAACCAAACATTGTAAAATCCAAATAATGACAAAATAATGGCAATTAAAGAAATCGGAAAATTGCTAAATTGTAAAATTTAGAAATTGAAGAAAGGAAAAATTCAAAAATCGAAGGAATAAAAAAGTTGTGAAACTTAAAAATCGAAATATTGAAAATTAAAGAATTCGGAAAATCGTATAATTGAGAAATTCAAAAATTGCAACATTGAGAAGAAATTTGAAAAAATCAAAGAATGAAAATTTCAAAAATTAAATAAACGAGAATTGTGACATAAATTTAAGAAAATGACGTTTAAAAAATCGGGTAAATGAAAAATAAAAATCAAGAACTTGAAAAATTACCGAAACGAAAAACAGAAAAATAAAAAACCGAAAAAGTATAAAATGAAAATTTGGAAAATCTAAAAATTGGAAATTAAAAATTTGGAAAGTTAAAAATTGAAAAATTACTAAAATGGAAAAAACGAAACATTGTAAAATCCAAATAATGACAAAATAATTGCAATTAATGAAATCGGAGAATTGCTAAATTGGAAAATTTAGAAATTGAAGAAAGGAAAAAATCAAAAATCGAAGGAATAAAAAAGTTGTGAAACTTAAAAATCGAAATATTGAAAATTAAAGAATTCGGAAAATCGTATAATTGAGAAATTCAAAAATTGCAACATTGAGAAGAAATTTGAAAGAATCAAAGAATGAAAATTTCAAAAATTAAATAAACGAGAATTGTGATATAAATTTGAGAAAATGATGTTTAAAAAATCGGGTAAATGAATAATAAAAATCAAGAACTTGAAAAATTAACGAAACGAAAAACAT